CCTGCCTATGGACATGACAGAGAAGAAACTGTCCCGATGAACAACTGTATCCTGAGCTTTTCTCACCTGAATTGTAACCTCTTAACTTTCCTAGTAAACTCCATAGCTGTGAGCATCATCTGTGAGTTCTGTGTGGCCATTGCTATAAATCATAGAACCCAGCTACAGAAGTAGAGTGGACGGTTGGTGTCAGAATAGGGCAAAAGAGGATGGAGGGTGGACGCAGTCTTTCCTTTGCCTGTGGCAATCAACCTTGAGAGCCAGAGGAGTTCAGGTGTGGCTTCCACACTGTTTTTCACAATGCTCTTAATATTAAGCTATTTGAAAAGCAAAAATAATTATATTTGATATCAGAATATAAAGAAGGAAGGATGGCTTTGACTCAATATTTTATGATGTGTTCATCTGCAGGATGGATAAGACACTAAAGGTGCCTTTTGGGCTTGACTGCTATTGGCCTCCTGGCTTAAGTTTCTGTTCACAAGAGCAGTTAGTGGGCTATCAGAATGTCACCTCAACAGGTGAGATGGGTTTTGTAAATTCTAACTCATAAAACAAGGTTCAGCTAGTATTGGGGAAAGTTAATTTTTTTGGCTTACTATGTTCACAAACACGAAAAGACCTTCAAGTGGTGGAAATAATGACGTTAAGGCAAAAAGTTGTTGTTAGGTGCTATCAAGTCAGTTCCAACCCATAGTAACTTTGCACAACGGAAGAAAACACTGTACGGCCCTGTGCCAACCTTACAATTGTTCCTGTGCTTGAGCCCATTGTTGCAGCCACTGTGTCAGCCCATTTCATTGTGGGCCTTTCTTTCACTGCCCCTCCGCTTTACTAAGCATGATGTCCGTCACCAGGGACTGGTCTCTCCTAACAACATGTTGTATACGCCAACCATCCCACTACTTGGCATACATCATATCGAAATCAGAGTCGTGCCATGAATTGCAGTACTGCTCACAAAAGATGGGAACAGCCAAAGCACCCATCAATGGAAGAATGAATTTAAAACGTTGGTACATACATATGATGAAATACTGTGTGGGAAGGTTTTTTTGTATAAAAGAGAGGAACCTAGGAGAGTTAAATCCACCTCTGCTGGAGCTGGATCTTGGACCTGTTTGTTAATCTCGTGTCATGTTGCTCCCAATGGTGGATTCATTCGGCTGACTTCAGACCTCTGTATCCACCAGCCTGTGCCCCCTGCTGTTTCTGCTTCATCACCCTGCTTCCTGTTCATCAGCTTCCATATGTCAGGAGGAGCCTGACTTGAACTATGCAAAACATTTCTTGATATAAATCTCTTTCTATATATTGCTGCAAATATATCCATGAAAATATGGTGGTGTATGCAGGGGGCAAAGTTATGGAAACTTGGTGGTCATAACCAAACACCCTGAGGAATGAGGGGCAGGGCCTCGGGGCTCAGGACCATAATCTTGGGGGACACTAAGGTCAATTGTCATAGCCTAGTTTCCAAAGACTATACTCCTGCTTTGGTGATTAGCAACTGGGTTCTTAAAAGCTCTTGAGCAGTCATCTGAGGTGCACATATTGGTCTCTCTCCATCTGGAGCAAAGGAGTAATGGGAACCAAAGACACATGGAAAACGTCCAGTGACTAATGGACCACACTAACATCAGTCTAAACAACCTGGAAACCAGAAGCAGATAGTGCTCAGCTACCATTACAACTGCTCTGAAGAGGATCACTTTAGGTCCTGAACAAAGTAGGAGAAAAGTGCGTAACAGAACTCAAAATCGGGATCAGGCATCATCAGAACAAAAAATCATATCATTGTGAATGACGGGGAGTGCGGAGTGGAGACCCAAAGCCCATCGGTACACAATTGGACATCCCCTTACGAAAGGGTCGCGGGGAGGACACGAGCCAGTCAGG